AAGAACATGAAAAAATATCTCTGTCAAGACTCAACCCTCAGGTTTTTTTCTTTCTTTTAAATAATAGGTACTCTCAGGCTATAGAAAGCAAAACAAATAATTATAGATCCACAGACTTTCCTAAGAGAGATTACTTTAGATAGCTACAAATAAAAAATAGGGTATTTCAACCATTCTAACGTATTTATTTGCACACAGTCAGATTACAGGTAATCTACACTATTGTATCTCAAAATGTGTTCCCTGGAATGATCTTTTATCACACACATACAAAAAATATTGCTATCTCAAATAAATTTTGCTAATACTGCATATGACCATTCCCTGTTAAATAGTCACAATGTGCACTGATATACTGAAGATTGAAAATTTATGCTTTAAATAAGTCAACTATCACATTCAAAATTATTAGAACTTTTTCTAATTATGTATCCTCAAAAATTGCATTTGAGAAATGCTTGTCAGTATATTCTGATAATGGCAGCCAGCGTTTTCTATCCCTAGGAATAAAATTCATTTCTCACCACTGTTACTGTGCTATGAAAAAATGGTAATGGTCATGTTGTTACTATATCTTGGAGTAAAAAGTAAAATTCAGTATCAGTAAGAATTGGGAATAAATTAATATCCTTTCTATAACATAGAACTCTTATAAATTTCCTGTTTATATTTTCAGCAGGCTCAACAACAAAAAGAACATGTTATATTAAAAATGCATATTTGTTTTCATCTAAAACATATATATATATATATAAACTTACAATATTTTTCATAATAGATTTTGTCCAAGGTTAATCTAGTAAAATGTATAGAATTGTAAGCATGTAGGTCTTTCTGTATGTATATAGGCAAAATGTGCTCACATGGTAAAAAAAAAAAAAAAGACTTTTTTACTTGACCCTAATGAGGATTTTTAAAAAAAAACATGTTTAAATAAATAAAAATAAGCCTGTAATATGTTAAAAGTTAGACCTGTTCGCCACTAGTTTTGGAGACTCCAAATTTAAACCTATGTCAAGAAAAAATTTTAATATAAAAAGGAACAAAAGAAATACAGCTTACAGGTTGGTTATTAAAATACTGGTAGTGGAATAAAATTGACACACACAACTTGTACATGCAGGGGAAATACAACTGAATGTACACAGATTGGTCTCAGCACATTCCTTTACTAGAATGTGGTTATCTGTCACAAAGTTCACAAGCTCATGCACAAGATCAAGACGTTACATACAGCTGAGATCACAATGTCATGCATAAAACAACAGCGTGCTAGATAATCGTACCACAAATTATGCAGATGTTCTCCCCCACCCCATAAGCCACTGCCAGCAGTTGCTGTGGAGTTTGGTTACCCATATCCGTGACATGAACGGTGTCCTTTGGAGAATCTTGTTCCCTGTGGCTGTAAGTATTATTTTTATAATATTCTAATGATGGTATTAAAATGTTAAGTACAAAACTAGAAATTATGGAAAAGTAGACTTGTTATAATACTGAACAACTGTAGACATCTTATCTTAGGCACTTTCAATAAATTTACTACTCACATATGAACATATTACCAAAAGTAATTTATTGCTCAAGGTTAAATGAACCCCAAATAACATGTCTGATGACAGTGCTCTTGTGAATGTGGATGGTGAGTAGGGAATCAAGCCCCACAAAGTACTCTGTTTTGTATGAAGTACTGAAGTAATGAGATACTAGCTTTGGCTGTTCATGAAATAGAACATTATGATTTTCAGTATTTGAGAGAAAATTAATGGAAAAAGTCTGACATGTATTTGCATGCAAAAAATAAATAATTTGTCCACCTTAAAAAAGTACTCTGGAAATCAAAAATCTTTACAAAGAGTCTTCCAATGACCTATGAACCTTATATGACTCATACAGATAAGTTTTATACAAGAACATGGGGACAACTGTTTCACTTACATGATTTCAATTCTGAAGACTTAACTTGGACAAGTAATCAAATTAACATTAATAATATTAGTAATGAAAGTAAAGAATAGTCATTAAAATATTTCTCACTTCCCTGAACATATTAAATATATTTTGATGTCTGTTTTTGCCTATTTATATCTTAAGTACATTCTGGTAAAGATAGAATTGTATTTTACTATTAGGCAATGCTGTTAAAATATGGATAATCATAAAAGCTTAGAATCTAAATTCTGGAACCACAAGACATTGAGGAAGCTGTATGCTTCTTGGTAACTCTATTTGACTCTTTCAGAACTGTGAATTCAGCATGTCTAGAATGCTCCATGATGTCTTTTTTTTTTTTTTGACTTCTATTCCCAAATCTTTTTCTTTTTTCAGTACTGGGGATCAAACCCAGGCCCTAACACTTGCTAAGCAAGGGCTCCACCAATGAGCTACACCCTCAACATCCAAATCATTTTTGATAAAGTTGCAAAAGCAATTCAATGTGGGAAAGACAGCTGCTTCTGCAAATGGCACCAGGAACAAGTTGATATCCATGATGTCTTTAAGTCAGGCCAAGGAGTAAAGAAAAAGAAAATACAGCCAACTCTCAAAAACAATGGAAGGTAGGATGGGTTAAATAAAATCTGTTGATCTAAAAATTGTATTGTAATTAATAATTTCAGTCCCCTCCCTAAACAAACATGAGATTTAAAAATTTTTAAGGTTCTGTCAGATTAAAAAAAACCTTGGATTTTACCTCTTTTCTCTGCTTCCCCTCCAGTTGCTCTAAAGGAGCATTCTATAGTCTGATAAATGTAGTTGCAAAAAACAGAAACATTTTTACATCTAGCTTTTCTAATTTAGATATTTAAAACTACCTACATTCCACTATATGGGGGCCTATATATTTTTTTCATTTTTGCAGAAAAAGGATGGCTTTATATATTTTTTAAAATACTCTTTTACTAAGGAATAAGTACTTACCATAACCAATATCAGTAGTTAAATTCAATTTTTTTGACTTTGTAAATCTACAAATTATTACTCACCAAGTTAATTTCCTTACAATATAAATTAAACAAAACAAGTTATATAAATTAAACAAAACAGTTTTACTCAACATTAGTATAATTTGTGATGGAAGCAGTATGACTTGATAAATTGGGCATAATAAAATTGGGATTTTTACAATAGCTGCCTCTCCTGATTCTTACTACAGTATTTTACTGTAGTATTCTTCCTCAGTTCTTTCATACTAATCATCATTCAATTACGTCTACATTACTTTTAATAAGACTGTTATCTTATTATAAAGTTCAGAATATCAACTGTTTTAATTAGCAACAAATAATGTCTAATTCCAGTAAAGAATTTAAAATAAATAATAAAGTCTCTGAAGCCAGGACATTCTCTGAATATGTAACTGCAGCAGAATCTCTTGTACAGAACAGGTATGCCACAATGAAAGATCAAAAAGGTGACATGATTATGTTGCTATGTTTACAAGGAAGATAACTTAGATTTGACCCAAAACAAAGTAAAAACAAGTGCATTTTATAACAGAAGACATCATAAAAATTACAATAAGGGGATAAATAATAAAACTTAATTTATGATGTTATCCATTCATTTGTCTTTATAAAGAATAATCATTAGATTCTAAAACGTAAATTAGTTTCAAATGTACATTTATATTTTGAGCTGGGTGTGGTAGTGCATGCCTGTAATCCCAGCACTTCAGAGGCTGAGGCAGGAGGGTAACTGCAAGCTCCAGGCCAGCCTGAGACATATAGTAAGATCAAGGTCAGCATGAACTACATAGCAAGATCCTGTCTCAAAAAAAAAAAACAGTGTAATTTGAACTTAACTTTTAATACATCATTTTTTTTCTTTAAGCAATGGTGAGAGGAAAGAGAACAAATACCTAAATTTCAATATTATATCAGTCATTATAAAATACACACTTTGTTATATTGGTAAGGATAAGAATAAAAAGATGTGTTTGTGACAATAAACCTTTGCAATGGGGTTTTATTCGAAATTTTAACATAGAAACCATGTGTGACATGTGAAAATCTATTTTAAAACATGGTATTACAAGTATAATATACATATTGCATATTTTTTAAATCAATATTTTTGTTTAAAATAAAGATTAAAATGTTTTACATGAGGAGAATATTTCCTTAATTATAATAAAAGTTAAAATAATTTTAGAAAATATTTGGCTTCATGATTTAAACAATCTTTTTTTTCTTTTAGTGGTATTGGGGATTGAAGTCAGGGCCTCACACGTGCTAGGAATGTACTTTACCACTAAGCTACATCTCAGCCCTAAAACAGTCCTCCATAACAATAATGCACTCAGAATAGCAGTTCTGAGTATAGTACAATTTCCACTCAGATTTCAAAGAATTAAGTCTAGTAGATATTTCAACATTTTTGACAATGTGAACTTTTCCATGATATATTAAAATGAGAATAGGAAAAAAAGACAGTGAATTTTGTTCACATTTTGATCATTCTTATATATTAAGAAATAACTGAATAAGTAAAACAAAATTGTTCAATTATAACAAAATCTATATGTAGTTTTTATATTAACAAAAATTATGTAAAGGAATTATTTAAAGATAACATTTTGATGTTGAAAACTAAAATGATACTCTGATTATCCCTGATAAAAGATTAAAAAGGATATCCTACTAAATAGAAATAGTATATAGGTGGAAAATGCTAGAGACAAAATTTATGAAGATATTCTGTGTTCTGATTAACAAAATCTTGTTTACCACTAATATCTATCTCAATCAGAACAGCAGAGGATTGCATATCTGTCATGCAAGCTGCCAGACAAAGTGAGCAGATAGAAAGAGTGAACTAGGACATGGTAAGGCAAAAAAAAAAATGACTATGTCATCAGCAGTAACTGAAAATACTGGGCTTCTCAGTGACTGAAAAGGCATGTTCAGTGACTTATTTTACTTGCAAGCTTATTATATTAGAAAGATGCAGCAAGATAGTGATGAGTTCACCTGATACAAATATATACATTCTTCACCTACCTCATCTGGGTTGGCGTTAAAGGTAAGGCTACCTTCATCCAGCTGCATATACAGTTTTCTAAAAGAAAATCCTAGAGGTGGATTCTTACTGTATATGGAACAGTGACCCCAAGTGGATTTGCACAACCTACGAAAATAAGAGAAAATGAGAAAAGAAATTGCTGTATTTAATTTCCTAAACTGAACATGCATGCATAGGATAAAATAGTCAATTAAATAATATAAAATTGGATTTTATAAGTACAAAACTTAAAGATTTTAATTTTATACATGTGTTCTGTTTATAAGAATATAATAAATGCCTTAAATTTAGCAATTTTGATAGCACCTACAAATTTGAGTTATAAAGATAATATTCTTGAATGTTCTCTGAAGTTAAACAATCAATAATAATAGTAATAACAGCTGATAATTACTGGTGTTTACTTAAAATTTTAATATTAATTGTATTAACTTGCTCAATACTATCAAGAATTCTACTGATGCTGGTTAAACAGACAAGACAGAGACAAAAAAGTTTCCTGAAGTCATTTAGTTAACATAGACAGAGGTAGGATTTGAACCTAATGAGTCTTCCTCCAGACTTTGCAATCTTGATCAAGAAATTAAATGTTATCTATTAAGTAATCTGAGCCTGTTTGTGAAATAAAACTAAATGAGCAGGGATAAAGATTGCTGGGCAGGGGAACAATCTTTTGTTTTTTAATAACATAGTTTAACAACAGAAAAATTAGACATAAAATTTGTAATGGTTCAACTTCAACACATATATCAAAAGGTGCGCTGTTAAGTGTAGCTATCTTTAAGACGCTGCTTCAAAAACACTGGTTCTTTCCTACTTCACTATCACACTAATAAATGACTGTTTACCTGTGCCCTGAAACCTAAACTTTCATCGTATTTCAATGCTGGATGTATCCTACAAAGCCTTCAGTATAAGTGCATTTGCTTCAGAGACACAGAAAATACAAAACTATATTCTGATACATTTTTCATAAATTTCACAATTTTCTTACATTTTTCGTAAATCTTCGCCTCAAAATTATATAAATTTTTGTGTGTATTTTCAAAACACTTGCTACTTGTTGAAACAAAAAAAAAAGTTTTGCCCTCTAATATTGGTTTTTACCTCAAATTTCTTTATTTTCACACATAGAGAACAAGAAAACCAGAAAAAAGGATTGTCCCATTATATAACATCAAAAATTGTGGGAGACTATCCTCTCACTAGTTAATTTATACCCTTGCATTATTTTTATTAACCACATGAAATCACTACTCTAAAACTGTAAATAAGCTATTTAGAAAATTATCAATAGTTAGCGGTCTCTTTATTATCACAGATTTTGAGTTTTATAATTATGCTATGCGATAGCAACATTCTCCCAACTTTAGTAAATATTCAGCACATTCAAGACTAACATAAAACTCAGCCAGCCTTTTTGTCAAATAGAAGCAATTTATCATTAAGAATAAAATCCAAGCATTGTAAGTACAGGGATAATTATGTATTATATATATAGGCAAACAATAAGGAAAACAATTTTTCCCAGAGATAAACAATCCACAATTAAACTCTAAATGAAAAATATGTAATGACTGAGTTCATATAAGCTTAGAAATGGACTTTTTTAAAAGAGTTTAAATATAGGAACACAAATTAACTTGTGGGGAATACTAAAATGCAGAAAAGAGGTTATAAAGAATGAACCAGTTTTAAAGTAGTTTAATTTCCTTATATACTCAAATGAGCAAGAAGTCAATACCTTATTTAAATGCTATTAATTAATATAATTTCCTCATATTAACAGTACCTTCACTATGACAAGGCACTGAAAGAATAATAAGATGACAATTTTCTTGTATTTGGCAGTTGATAAATTACCTACATAATTTTATATTTTATTTCTGTACCATTAGGAAGTCTACGTTAGACATAACACTACTAGAAAGTTTGGTAATTTAGGTTAATTCTTTCAATTATATTCCCAGATAGAAATAATTCAGTCTTAAAAAGGGTTTTGCTTTCTAGATTTGTTCATTATCATTCTTTTTAGTTTTCAAGCTTTTATTAGTACATGTTCACAGTACATAATGATTACATTCATCATGAGAAGCTAGAATATAACATATTTAAATTATTTTTGTTTTTTATGCTTCCCTAACCTAGCATTATCTTTATGAAGTCCCATTTTAAAACAAAGAGACTTAAATAAACTTCTGTAAAGAATATTAGAAAATTTAAGATACAATAATTCTTCTATGTTTGGTACATTTTAAAAAAATGTACCTATGAGTTTTTTCTAAATATGTGATGCTATTTAAGGAGTAACATATTCAATAAAATGGATTCTATTCCACCAAATGTTTTTAAATTTGTAGTTTAATTTAAACTAGTTCAATATTTGCTAAATTTCCTATAGTTTACTTTAAATTCAGCAAGTAGATGTTTATATCCTTGCTTTCTAATATTTGTCTACTTTATTGATGAAATGGTTAAAATTAAAAGTAGATGAAGTTTTCACCAGTTAAAAGTTTATGCTAGCAAACACCTATGATAAAAAGAATACTACAAGTAAACAAACAATTAAACACACTTTGAAACTCATGGAAACAGAAACATTTGAGGACTATTTATTGATGGTCAAGTATACCTATTCGTCAGATGGAATACCTATAGGAACACAGGTGTGCAGCACAAATTATACCAGGGATGTAAAGAGTCTAATTTTTGGATTACAAATTCTTAATTCAGAACTTTAATTTTTAAAATAAGCTGAACATTTCTGATTTATAATAAACTGACTTACCCTGATTAGCAATTTCTCTTCTCACTATAAGAGATTTTTTTTTTGTTCTTTTCTATTTTCTTTACTCAGCATCAAATTGGACAACAATAATTGCATTTTTATTTTTACAGGCCTTAATAGCAACTCAGAGTATAATCCCAAATTAAGAAGAAATTATTTCATAATGTATGTGTGCTACAAAAAGAACACTAAGTATTAATATGTTTAGAGTGGTCTGAATCAATACTGGTGGGTTTAACTTACCCTTGCCAGAGAAGTTCATCATTAGCAAGGTCCTGCCAAACACATGAAGCCAAGCAGAGGTCAGTTGCATTTAGGTAGGACAAGATGGTAAAGCTCAGTTCAGGAGGTAACATTTCCAAATTAATGAATCCTTCTTGTTCTTTGGATTTCCTTGCTTTCAAAAGATGATAGATATCAATGCCTCCTTGGACTTGCTTGCGTTGACCGGTGTTAGAAATGTTGCTCACAGCCATTCTTCTGCTCTGGTCTCTGGTGAGGTAGCCTTGCTCACTATAGCCTTCCTGTTGTAGCTGCTGGTTTCTGGCCACTCTCCACAGCCCTTGACCCATCTGCAAGCCTGGGAGAAAGCCAGAATGTAACAAGAGTGACATTAAAAAAGTAAACTATCTTTCCCAGTGGTATAACAGATCTGACATAAAGCATTCATTTATCAGAATTTAAATTCGGTAAAACCTGTAGTAAAACCAGCAGTATATTACAAAGAATAGTTGGAATTCTTAAAGTACAAAACTTGGATAGAAAAATGTTCCAGAGATATTTGGTCTGATCATCGCCTTTATTCCAGCTTGCTAACTACTTTTAAAAGTCCACAGGTGACATAATCATTTTTCACATGGTAAGATTTAAAAGTTACTGATGTCCTAAAGACTCTTACAAATTATAATTTTTGTGGACTTATGGGCCAGTATTAAGTACCTCTCTGATCAGAGCACAAGACTTTAGTTAAAAGGTCTCCAGACCCTGGTTTTTATCACAATTCAGGTTAAGCTAAGCTAGCCCCTTTTAACCAAACTCCCAGATGTATAACAGCTGTGAAACAGGCTTTTAGTTTAATTCTTGCCAGTCTATATTTATGTTGTAGAGTGTAATAAAATGTAACATAGGCCCTGAAGTCTAATTCACAAACCTTATAAATTAGACACCTAGAACTCCATGATAAATAGCTCAGTAATAATTTACTATTTGATTTTCCTGTTGCTTTAAACTAAAAACCATAATTTGCATTAATTTTCCAATCTTCCCCCACATACATAGCCTCTGAGGTATTCAGGAACAGGAACAAGAAGGTGTGCTATGGTCTCCCCTGCTTCATCTGACCTGCCACCAGAAGAGCTCCACATTTATCTGTTACATATATCGGACCTCTCCATATACAGATATTTAGAAAATAACTGGCCTAGACTAATTTGATCTTGCCTTTAAACGAAGTAGTTTTTATTGAGTGAATAAATTCAGTGAGAAAAACTAAAGCAGAAAAAGTTTTTAACTAATACAAATTATTTTCATTATCTCATTTCAAACAAAATATTTTTGTTTTATTAACCTAAATTGACTACTAATACATGTGTGTGTTTCAAAAATGTGGGAAAATACTCATTTTACATAAAATCATTAAAATAGTCAAATAACTATCATAGCATATTAACTTTAAAAGAAAACTATTAGAAAGATGAAATAAAAGCAAAAAAAAAAGAAAAACCAAACAAACAAAAAAACAATACCAGTGATCAGAAATTTTGAAAATTTTTAGGAAAAACTTGAAAATTGAGAAGTTCAAAAAATATCAAAGATATTTTTTTCTTCATATTTAAAAAGGAATGATACACATGTATATTTACTAAATTGTTGGCTACTGTCTAGACAATGTCTACTATATTAGACATAGTATAATTACTATTAGTATTATAGATACTAAATATTATCTTATATGTACTGTATTAGCTTACTTGCTGATCAAAACAGAAAAAATATTTCAGGATATTTTTTAACTCTTTATCCTTATCTAAGCTGCTTGAAATTGCAACAGTTTCAATTATAAAGGGTGTATATGAGAAGTTGCAATGATTTTAAAGTATATTAAAGTATATAGTATATATATTTGAAGTATATTAGTGTATATCTTAAAAGGTCTCAGTAGAGAGTCTAAAAATATTCCCATCTCATAGGCATGTAATAAATTTTGTGTTCTTTTTACTGTTTATATAAAGAAAAATCTCAATAGAGACTTCACCAAAAAAGATTTAAAAATAGCAAGTATATGAAAAGATCGTAAACATCACATTTCATTACAGAACTGCAAATTAAAACAATAAGATACTACTACACACCTATGAGAATGGTATATCCAGCATACTGAATATTGACAATACCAAATGCTGGTGAGAATGTAGGAATGCCAAGTAATATAGCCACTTTGGAAGATAGTTTGGGAGTTTCTTGCAAAATTAAACATACTTTTAGCATATGATCCAGTATTCACACTTCTTGATATTTTCCTAAATAAGCTGAAAACTAGCTGGAGACGGTGGCACTCATCTGTAATTCTGGGATTCTGGGAGGCTGAGGTAGGAAGACTGAAATTTCAAGCCCACTCAGGGCTATTTAGTAATGTAGCAAGACAGTCTTAAAATAAAATTAAAAAAAAAAGTTTTAAAGGGCATGGGGTGTAGCTCAGTGCAAAGGCCCTGGCTTCAATCCCTGGTATCCACCCTCAAAGGTGAAAATTCATGTATGTACAAAAATCTGTATGTGAATATTTATAACAGCTTTATTAATAATTACTAAAACTTGTATGCAACCAAGATATGCTTCAGTAGGTAAATACATAAACGGCAGCACATCACACAATGGAATATTACCTAGCACTAAAAAGAAATAAGCCATTAAGTCATGGAAGAGACTTAACCGCAAACGAAAGAAGCAATTCGAAAATACCATTTCAAGTATACGAAAATCTGAAAAAGGCAAAATTATGGAGAGAGTAAAAAATTATTAGCAGAAAAAATACAGAATCCCAGTTTTTAATTTGCTCAGTTTAAATATGCCATATCACATTACAAAATAAGTACATTTAATTTTAACAGGTATGTAACATTTTAAGACTTTCAGCGATAGGAAAAGGTATTTTATTTCCATTGCGGCTATTGGCTTAAATTAACAAGAAAATATCTAGCAATCACATTAACTGCTAACCTCATCTAGAGTATGATATCATTTGAAATAATGAAATTTATTCTTCTCTTTGCTTTTGTACCACTAAACATAAGTAATCAAATGTGGTAACTATGGTGTCTGAAGTCTCAAGATTTAAGGCATTTAATAAGAATTTCTGTGTATTTCCCCCACAACATCTTTCTAGGGCATATGGTTAAGCAGCTGTTGTTACTCTTAGGGCTGTTGCTAGGGAACAAAAAAATCAGGGCGATTTCCCTAGGCTCTGGACTTTAATGAGGATCAGTTAAATAGAGCACTGGATAATGTGATTCAAAAAGCATCCGGCAGGTATAAAGAGGTAAAGCCAGCAGCTGGTTCTTTAAAAAAAAAAAAAGTCAACGGGGAAGATGGAAGGTTGAGGCACATGAAGAAAACTGCAAGATTAAACCTCATTTTGTATCCTTCACTGTAAAACAATACTGTAAGTGGCCCCTTTGGGATTTCCTTTTCCTTTTAAAGCAGTTCTTGATACTAGGTAAGATCACAGTATGATAAACTGCACTAAAGAAGATTAATGTCATAAGTTTAGCATTTGGAAAAAGGAAAGGACATCTACAGTGTTCCATTTGCACTCCCAATCCTCTTTAATGTATTAGGGATGTAGACTACGGTAACTCGAAAAGCGATAAAACTTTCAAAAAGACATGACAAACATTGTGCACACTGTGAAGTAAGTCACAGAGGAGCAAAGTGTTATGGGCTTTGAAGTCAGATTTCAGTCTGAATACTGAGTCTATTAGCTATTATTCCAGGACCTTGGGGAAATTACTTGACTATTTACTTTAAGCTTTAGCTTTTTCGTATGTAATGTGGAAAAATAACGATGATAATGCTTACAGCTCAAAAGTTGTTCTATTAAATGAGACAATGCATATTAAGTTCATATCATGGCTCATAATCAATCCACGTTAGGTATTACTTTATTTTGACAAAATCATTTTCGTCAAGTGAAAATGATTAGCACTTTCATAAAACCTCTTTTAATGATACTTCAACAATCCTGATGTTCTGCTCACTGAAGAAATGCAATTGTTCATGTTGGTTGGGTAAGTACACAAAATGATTCACTTCCTTTATTTATCTCACATGTCAGCCATAGTTATTTATTCATTTATTTATTTAAATTTTTAGTAAATGTAATTGACCAGTCCCCTTCCCCCTAAAAAGTCTTAAAGAGTAAGAATGCCTGTTATCTTCCATAAAAAATTTCATGACTCAATGCACCTGACAATAATGCCAACAGCAATGTCATGAAACAGGTCCTTGTGTCATCTCTAGTAATCTGTCAACATCTGGCCCTAAAGGATATAAGATACAATGCAGTTTCATGCTGGGTTCTTGCATGATTTTGAATTCTTGAAAATAAATGTTTGGACTGAACCAATCAAAACTTGACTTCAAGGTACCATGTTTTCAGATTTGTCTCATAGTTTTAATAAAATCTTGACACAAATATTTTCAACACTGAAACAATATAATACAGTATGGCCACCTGTAGCAGTTATTTGGTCAAAAAAGCTGCACATTATAATCATTGAATATGAAAAGAATTTCAAGATAAGAAACACAAAATAGTTTTTCTACTTGAAATGACTAGTTTGGGTGTAAGTATGGATTTTTTGTGATGAAAGTATTGCTGATAATTTATTTGTTTACATAAAATAGATTGAGGAAATGGATAATTGTTTCTTAAAAAATATTCTTATAATAGGATTATTAGTCTATTTCATATACAAATAAAAGAAACACAGCTGTTATTTATGGTAATTATGTTCTATAAATTTGCTACAAACACTGCTTAGTGAATATCGAGTCATAGTTTCTATGGAAAATACAAGTTCCTGAATATAATCCAAGAATTTCTATCTTCCTAGAATTATCAAACATGGCTATCAATTAATCCTGATTATTATAGTCATCAAGTAATGCTCCTTGTGCCTCAGGACTATTATAAACTATTTTGGTTTAAGGGGAAACTATTTATGTTCAATTCTGCATTGCCACAAATACACTCATGAAGTACAGTAGAGGACAAGAGACTCTGAAGCCTTGTGCTGATAGCTATTGAATGGGAACTAGTAACCAAATTGAATAACTTTGAAAACTCAGGTGGAATGTGTCACAATAATAGAACAGCAGCTATTTTATTAATTTAATCTCATGCATAACAATTTCATATTTTGGGTTTATTCATTATTTTTCTTACATTTAAACTTAAACTTTGTTATTAAAATCCTATGCTTCTGTAGCATAATAGATGGGATGACATAAATGGAAAGTAACAAGAAACCAAAATTATTTTTTAAAAAAGTTTGAAAAATATTTACCTATAAGACTGCATAA